ATTTTTTACTAAAATAATTTACGTTCAAGTAAATAAATGCCTATGCTAGTTATTTTTAATATTATATTTAATTCTCTCGTATGAATTTTTGGTCTTAAATATGAAATACTTTATTTTAAATTTATTAGACTTAATTTTTACTAGGCAAACTTTTATTTTTAATTTGCAATAAAGGGGAAGGGATATTTGTAATAATTTTAATATATTGTATAGTTATAAAATACTTATTGTAATTTTTATGCTGTTTGTCGAACGTCTTTTTTATGGTAAGATTAGAATAGACTATGTCAAGGTAGACCATGATTTCACCTAAGTTTTCATACTCATATTTCATTCAATATCTTATACTTTTGAAACTGCTCATATTTGCTATGTAAAATGATAAGTTAGAGTTATGATATCGCTTTTTAGACGCACAAGTACTCTTCTTTTCGAATGTAAATTAGGATTTTGCATTTATATATATATATTGCACGAGTTACGCAAAATATTTAGTAACTATTTAGTAATTTTAAATTCTAATATCATGCTGCCATAAATTAAAAGAAAAAAGTATAAACACAAAGAAAAAAATCTAATCATTTTGTGCTATTTAAATGACACGAATTTATAGAGGTTTACTTATAAGACGTATTGCCATACGTTGCTTAAGAAATGTGTTTTTTCTAAGCATGTGTGGTTCGATCGTTAACAAAATGAATTTAAGCATTAATGTAAAAACTGCCCTTTCCAACTGATAACTAGAAACTTAATTTTACGGCAGCAATTTGAGGCAAACCAAGACATGAATTAAAAAATACAAATTCAGAAGGAGGATACAATGAATTTGTATAATTGGTCATTTCTTCATTTTTATCCTTTTATGTATGATTTGTGATAAGAACCTGTTATCTCTTTCCTTTGGAATCAAAGAAATAGATAATGGTAGAGCGAAGGAAGCACACACAAGCTATCGAAATTAAAATTTTCTGGACACCTTACTCGAATTTCAGGGCAAATGTTTTAACGATTACTTGGCGAATTTTTTCCCAAGATGTGATACGCTCAGCTATTGGATAGGGGGATGAAGGAGATTTTTTGCATTAAAGATCTGAAAGGAATTACCGTATTGAATACTCCTTTTCGTGTCTCGGATCTTTTGGTTCGTTTTCTTATAACGCGGCTGTCTTGGCTTGAGGCCAGTATTCATCGAAAACTATGCCAAGAACTTTAGCTGAGGAAAAATTCAGGTATCGATTTTGAACCCAAACTTGAGAACGTCCTTGAAATAGGATGATCATAAGTTTCCGCTTATTGCAGATTTTCTGCCCTCTTGTCAGTTCGAGAAATCTATAAAACTAAAATAGCTTAAAAAACTATAATGAAGTTTTTCAAATCAAATTTGTTCCTTAGATGGTTTTTATTCAAATTTAATACATAGAATTAAAATTTAACCAATTTTTAAGAGAAGCAATTACAAAATTTAAAATTACTCTTTCAGCACTGATGTGAAAAGAAAAAAGTTGAATGATCCTGGCAGGGAAATAGTATGATGAAATACAAAAGGAAAAAAAAACAAATCTTAAATAAGAGGAAACAATATTTTTAATGACATATCAGTTTTTATATTCATTATAGAACTCATTTCTCTCAGACACGTTGAGTTTGTCAGTATTAGAGCAGTACAGTTGACTATTGTTTACAGATTGTGAAAGCGAGTAAATGAGTGAGCGATAATATTGGAAAGGCGCAAGAGCCAGATATGGTCATACTGCGCCAAAGAAAGTAAAACTGTGATCTAGACGACAGGAAAAAAATTAAAAAATATATAAATTGGTTGACAAGAAGGGCCCAAAATAGAGTAGGATCTGTTGGATACTCTGGTGACGCGTCACCTGTGTTTACTAAATACCGTAAGCCCATGGGAAAGAAAAAGATCAATAGGGTGCCTCAAAGTCATGATGCCCGTAAATATCAAAAGATGATAAGCCCCTGATTGCCCCATATATAATTTTCCGGGGCAGGGTGCCCGACTACATCCCCAGACATTGGATACCCATTTTAGTTGCCTTTTACTATATGCATGAGCTACAGAGGGACTACCCTTTCACACCCGATCACCTCACGGGTGTACAGATAATGAAAGCAATACCAGAGTTTGTATATCTCACTCGCTATATTTCCACACCACGTCAAGACTATAAGCCCGTTTAAAGAGAAGAAACTCTAGCTTCTGTGGCCTATTTATTAGATAAATAGACCGTAGAGGAAATATGTTATGAATTATAATATAAAAAGGGTAAGAAATTTTATAAATTAAAAAAACCTATACTGGTTTGATTCCTCTCACTCAACATGGGCCACGGTAGCCTGGTGGTCAAGGTCGTGGACTAGCAGCCGGCGGTTTTCGTTCAGTCGCGGGTTTGATCCTTGGCCGCCAAAGACCCGCCGTGTAGCTGGGGCTGATGCACGTTAAATCTGTTCGGGGCCCAAAGTCCTCCCGTTGGTGTGGTGTGGATGTTAGGAGAGGGGGGTGTCAGCTCAGGTGTCGTCCTCGTCACTTGACCGTGGTTCAAAATTACGAGGTCCGTCGCCAATAGCCCTCGTGTTGCTTCTAGTGCGACGTTAATAAAAACTAAACTAAACTAAATCCTCTCACTCAACATACGGGCCACTGTAGCCGAGTAATCATGATGGCGAACTCTTGGGCTTGAGTCCTGATGCCTTTAAATATCATCATGTAGCATGGCTAATCCACATTAAACATGAAGAACTCAAAGTATTCATGATGGGATGGAATGTATGTTAAGAAAGTAGGATAATTCAGTTGTCATCCTCGTCAATTGAGCGCGGTTCAAAATTACGAGAGGCCGTGGTAGCCTAGTGGTCAAGGTCGTGGACTAGCGGCCGGTGGTTTTCGCTCAGTCGCGGGTTCGATCCTTGGCCGCCAAAGACCCGCCGTGTAGCCGGGGCTGATGCACGTTAAATCTGTTCGGTGCCCAAAGTCCTCCCGTTGGCTTGGAGTGGATGTTAGGAGAGGGGGGTGCCAGCTCACGTGTCGTCCTCGTCACTTGAAGGTGGTTCAAAATTACGAGGTCCGTTGCCAATAACCCTCGTGTTGCTTCTAGTGCGACGTTAATATAAACTAAACTAAATCAAAATTACGAGATCCATCTCGAATAGCCTTCACGTTGCTTCTAAGTGTGATGTTAATAAACAATCAGTCAATTAAGACTCCTGCATTATAGATAACATAGAAATTATTTGTTTGCATTTCATCATGATAAGTTAATACGTGTTCCAAGAAAATATTAAGCCAATAAATTAAGGATATTTTCTAGCAGGCTTATTGCAAAATTATGTTTCATTTTATAAATGATATATATTAAGGCGTTTATTATTTAGAAGTCCCGATCTGATTAATTATCTGCAGATCTTTTACTCGTTAGTGTATTGAATTCTTCCAGTGCTCTCTATTTTTGTTGCCAAAAATGCTTTTTAAATACAACTAATAAGTCTCTTAATTAGTAATCATAGTCAGAAAATGATGTCGACACTCAAATTGGCTTCCTACTAAACTAATAACAACAACTCCGAGCTAAGTCATCTCGCGGTCTTTGAATCTCAACATGATCAGTAGCCTAGTAGTAATATCGTAGACTCGCGGCCAGTGGTTTTCGTCGGGTCGTTGTTTCGAGCCCTGATGCTACTAAAAATCCACTGAGTAGCGAGTTGATGCACGTTAAATCTGTTAAGGCCTCAAGTCCTCCCCTAGGTGTTGTGAGGAGGAGGAAGAGGGAGGTGCCACATCTTAGGTGCCATTCTCGTCATTTGATCAAGGTTCAAATTTACAAGGTCTGTTGCCAATAACCCTCGTGTTGACTGTCAGTGCGACGTTAACATACAATCACTCCCATTCCAACATGTTTAACATGGCTAACATAATAACAACATGGCTTCAGGCCCTCTACATGAAGGTGTTTGGAAGGAAGAGACCGAGCCTGCGATATTTCAATAACCAGTTTGTTACTCAACTAACTAGCATACTGAGGCACTTAGTTATCTTCAAAAATTATAAAAATATGAATAAGGAAGTTTGCATGTTAAGCCTTTTCTTATAACCAATTTTTAAAAAAAACAATTTTTTTTTCTCCTTTTGACACATATAACATATCATATTATATTCAAATTAAGTCATAAAATAAATTTTAAAGAGATTTTCTGTGCTAGAGTAACAACAACAACAAAATATATTGAAAATAAATTCACGAGGATGTCTCGCACAAAGTCATGTACTTAAGGATATTACTATAAATATCTTGTTTTATGAAACTCCATGAAAAATATCTCATGTTTAAGGAATTTTTATTAAATCTTTGAATATTGCTCCCAACGGCCTTTGAAGTTTATTATGTTTGGAGAAATATAAAAATTTTAAATTTTTTTTCCCTGAAACCACTGTAAAATAACTGAATTTTATATATTCAACTTGTACAGTCTTAGCCTTTCGGCTGAGGAAATGGTGTAAGTGAATTATAGCCACTAAAATCTGAATATTTATGAGTAGAAATATAAGCAATTGTGAAAAATATAATCTGAAAAAACCCATATCAAGCACATTACATGCATAAGAACAAGAAGAAGCATAACTGTATATTTCACATTGATGGTAATATTCATGACTTAATCGAACTTATGTAAATGATCGTATGAATATATCAATATATATGTATGTTATTTAATAATATTATAAAGGTTTACTCAGTAACATACAGCTCAGCTAATTATTGGATCCACGTTTTAAAGTAAAAATATCAATCACATTTCTTTAGCTACAATTTAAAGTAGATAGTTAAATGAACTTATGAACCATTTGAAGTTTTATAATCATTAATATAATATAAGCGCATTCAGGGTAATTTTGAATGCAATACCGGACCAAATATCATGCTTTTATGATCGAAGTATAATATTCTTTAAATTATTATTAACGTATAATGCCACGAAGCTTACAAGCACCGTTGGCTGAGAGGTAAAGCGCTCGTCTACAGGGCGAGAGTTCCCTGGTCCAAATCCCAGTGCTGATAAAATTGAAGATTCACGTTAATGGTTTGTTTAATTGCTTTCTTCTAAAATTTCAAAGACCTTCTAGAATATTCTTTACGTTTCCAGAGCATTGTTCTGGAATATTCTCATGTAATAAAAAAACCATATGTACTCTCATCCAAGTGTAGCAGCTATTAGTTTGTTAATAAATCACCCTATTAAATATCATTTCAAGTAATTAGTTTTTTATCATTTATATGTAACCAAATTGTTGCTCTGAAACATAATTTCATGTTCTTTATACTATTCTAACGAACTGAAGTTCCCATACATTTTTATTACTTCTATTTTTTGTATTGAGTTTTGTTACACCTGTATTCTCCATTTCACGCCCATGCATGGCTATCACGCAACGGGTTTTTCAATTTTGCTTACTCCCCTAATTGTTTGAGCAGTGTATGCATTGAGCATGTGTAAAATATTGAATCCTCTGTCAAGCTCAGGCTCTCTCTGAAACAAGTAGGAAAACACAAATACTGCAAACGCAGATAGCTATTTTCTTATGACAAACATTCATTGTCCAAATGTGGCCGTGGTAGCCTAGTGGTCATGGTTTCGGATTCATGGCCAATAGCCCTCGTGTTGCTTCTAGTGCGACGTTAATAAAAAAAACACCAATGTCTAAAAAAATAGTTTGAGCCCTCAGAATAATTTTTATATAAAACGATTTGCTTCAATCTCTCAAGTTATGAAGCAATTGCATTTTTCAATTATGTGCCACAGAAGCTTCATTTTCAGGTTAAGCATTACTTATTACGTGTTTGTTTGTATATCGATTGAAATGTTCGTGTATCGATTTTTGCCTTGACCCTTATTTATAATGTTTTGAAAAACGTTTAAGCAAAAGTACAACGTAAAACATAAATCATTAATATAAAATGAGAACAGAAATAGATAGATACAATACAAATTCGAATATAAATAGACGCTATTTGTTTCCATTTCTCAGCAAGAAATCAATAAAAAAGGGGGGGGGGAAGTTACAATAGAGTTTAAAAATTTTTTTTTTTAGCTTCTGGTTTCAAAATGCTACTTCCAGTACGCTTTTACAGCAGACGATGCTTCTTAATTCGGCTATATATTTAACACATGGATCAATAAGTTCCGAGACTAACCCAGAGATGGAGCTCGTAGTAAACCAGTAACCAGGTCTTTCTAGAGTACTAACCTTTGCTTGAAACGTGTCAAAATTTTAAGTCGATCGGACCAGAAACAGCTGAGTTATCGAGGTTGGAGTAAAGTCGTTTTGTAGTTTGTTTAAAAAATGGAAAAAACCGAGTTTCGTGTTCTGATAAAACATTGTTTTTTAATGGGTAAAAACACCGTGCAAGCGAAACAATGGATTGAAACATGTTACCCGGACTCTTGTCCATCAAAAGCAACGATTTGTCGGTGGTTTGCCGAGTTTAAACGTGGTCGTACCGACACAAATGACGCGGAACGCTCGGGTAGACCTGTGGAAGCCGTTACACCGGAAAATGTGAGTGAAGTGACAAAAATTATAATGAAAGATCGTAAAGTGAAGCTCCGTGAGATTGCTGAGATGACACAGATATCATATGGAAGTGTATTTACTGAAAAAGGTTTTTTGAAGTGAAGTGAAAAAGGTTTTTTGCAAGTGGGTGCCTCGATTGCTTTCGATGGAACAAAAACAGCAACGAGTCGATGATTCAGAAAGCTGTTTATCGCTATTTACTCGCAACAAAAAAGATTTCTTGCGTCGTTACGTGACCATGGACGAAACATGGATACATCACTACACTCCAGAGTCGAAGCGGCAGTCATCTGAGTGGCGCACAGCTGGCGAAAGCCGTCCGAAAACGCAGCAGTCAGCTGGCAAAGTCATGGCGTCAGTTTTTTGGATACGCATGACGTGATTTTCATTGACTACCTCGAAAAAGGTAAATCGATCAACAGTGATTCTTATATTGACTTGCTGATGCGTTTGAAGGAGGAAATCGCAAAAAAACGACCGCACAGTCTCGGGACTTATTGATCCATGTGTTATTTCTATTTCACGTAAATCAAAAAAACTGATTTAGAAAGAGAAATGTTTTATTAAAATATTCTTAAAGGAAAAAAAATTCACCCAAGTGGTCAAAAAATAGTATTTTGTATGAAGGCAGTCATCTTCCATTAAAACATGTTGCATAGAATAATGAATAATGATGCATTCTATAAATCCGAAGGGGTCTCAGAAACTCCCTTTGGGTGATGAGGAAATTAAGGAAATTATAGGAACCAGCTTTGGGCTATTGACCCTGTCTCTTCAGTGAAAAAATTCAGTGAAAAAATTACGAGATCCATCTTGAATAGCTTGCTGCCTATTTATTGAGTATTGTATTGTTCATTTATCCTTAATTCTGTAATTAAATAATTATCAGTATATTTATAATGAGTGTTCATAAATTGAAGTGTTGAATTTAGTAATAAAAATAAACACGGGATAACATCACTGAGCATAATATGTGAGAGAAGTCAAAAGAAACAGTTTCATTTAACTAGTTGATATTTGAATAATTTCAATATATGAAATTCAGATTTACATTTAATTAATTATATGAATGAGGAATCATAGAAAATATTTCTGTAAAAAATAATGAAGAATCCAATGTTTCATATAAATCCTGATTAAATTAATTTGTGTTTACTTTTTATATTTTCTTGAAAATAGTTCAATGCAATATATACAAGAGGTTAATATTTAAACTGTCTTAGGTATGAAGAATTAATTTACATCATCCAATTAAGTTGTTAAAAATTCAGGCTTCTGAAAGAAGTTACAAGCCTCCAACATGCAAATTATTCGCCATGTATAAATTATATAATTAACCTATTGGATTTTGTAGAATGTTGATGCTCTCGCTGCTAATAGATAAAGTAATTAGAGTTAATTACAGAAAGACACGTTACTTTAAAAGGAAATAAATAGAAAATAAATAGATAGTTAATTAACGATAATTAAAAGTAAATTATGAGTTAATTCGTGAAAGATCAGTATTTTATTACCTATTTATTTATTACGGAAAAAAAATGAGAGTTCTCTTTGATTTACGAAATGACTAGATAAGAAATAACAAGTTTATTTTAAAAAGAACCTTTCAAGCTAAGTGGTATTTAATTTTATATTTTGTGTAGTGATAATTAATAACTAATTTGAACTGAATCTTAATAATTATTAATTAGAAAGGATTTATGAAATATTAATCAGTGGGAAATATGAACTGATTTTCTTGAAGCCATGTCTGTATAAAAGAATTATCATGCTTTTTTTTCGTTCGAATGCGTATTAATTCAGATACTTGTGTTACTAAATCACATTTCATTGAATCTTAAGAACTGTAAGAAATATTTCGAAAAGTCGAATTAATTCTTACATAAGTTTCTAGAAAAAATTAAGAGACGGTCAGAAATAATTTAATTAGAAAGCAATGTGCTTGTCATCGAAGGAAAGATGTATATGAAGAAATTGAAATACTTAAATTTGTTATTTTCATTAATCAAAGATTCAAAAGTAAGTGGGTTGAAAGCTAATATGTAAACTGATGCTTAATACTCGTTGTCTAAAACTATTGAAAAATGTGAACAGATTAAAAACATTTAAAACGTTAATTTAGAAATTTTAAATTAAAATTTCGTAAGCTAGAATTCCAAAAAAATTATTTATTCTTCTTCAAAGATAACGTTTCAAAATGATGCATTGGCTATATTAAGAAAAGAACATTTGCCGCAGTTTTTCATGAAATATTCAGCTGTAAGATGATAAGAAGCTTTGGGTAATAACGTAAATTGATTGAAAAGTATAATAATAAGACTATATAAAAGTGAACGTTAAAAGTAGAAAGGAGAGAACAAAACAAGCTTTTAAAACGATATACCTATTTTGCTGAACTGAGTTAAATTTTTATTGAAACATTATACGCAATTTATATCATGGAAGGATCAATATTTATAAAAATAATTTTCCCTAATGTATAATGGATAACGCTTGATTACATCTTCTTCGTTTTAAATATTTGCCTATTTTTCTTCGTATTATCGCAGGACTTACTTTGATTATTTGTAGATTAACTCTATCTTAGGCAAGTTTAATTTTCACACACACACTCACAAATATATATACACTCATGGACAAAAAAAATTAGCGCTCCAAGAAGGAGTCGTCAAAATGAAGCGACATTTTACATACGTAATGACTACTTTAATACAAGTAAATGGTTAGAAAATAATAGAAAAAGGATCATTTATTTCAGAGAAAAAGGCAAAAGAACGGAAGATTTAATACCCTGTTGAACCCCTAGTAGAGCGAATGCACGATGCGATACGATCGGGCATTAAAGCACACAAGTTCTGTATGATGTCTTGAGACATTTCGTTTTGTATTTATTGTAACCTAGCCTCTAGTTCGTTCAAACTCGTTGGATGCACAACTCTCCGTCCCAAATGATCCCAGATATGCTCTATTGGAGACAAATCTGGGGATCGGGCAGGCCAAGGAAGGGTAGTAACAGTGCGGAGACAGTTTTGTGAAACCCTTGTCGTGTGAGGCCGAGCATTGTCTTGTTGAAAAATGGCTCTTGGAAGCTGTTGCATCAGTGGCAACACATGTGGTTGCAGGATGTCATGGACATACCGCTGGGCTGTCATGGTGCCACGGATCAATACTAGGGGAGACCGTGTATTGTAGGCAATGACACCTCATACCAACACACCAGCTGTGGGTGCGGTGTGTCGCTGTAAAGCAAAGGCAGGATTGAGGCGTTCACAACGGGGTCTCCATACACGAACACGATTGTCATCATTGCTGAGATTTAATCGGGATTCGTCGCTAAAGACGACCTGGTTCCATTCCGCTGCAGTCCAGTTTCTTCGTGTGCGGCACCACTCCAAACGGAGGCGTCGATGGGTGGGCTCTTAGGGCAGCACACGTAATGGGCACCGCGATCCCAAATGTCCTTCAGCCAGACGCCTTTGTATGGTTCG